CTTTTTTTTGTCTTTTTGAGACAGGGTCTTGCTATGCAGTTCAGGCTGGCCTTGAACTCACTTTGTAGCTGAGGCTGGTCTCGAACTCACAACGATCCTCCTGCCTCAGCCTCCCAAATGCTGGGTTTACATGCGTGCACCACCACACCCAGCAAGCAATGATTCTGAATAAAAAAGGAATAATAATTTTTACCATTAAAAGTATGACATCTCCTCAAAAGTTCTTGTGTTCAACTTGAGCAAATGCTATGTGGAAGACTTTTTCTATACTCAGCAGTCGGATATGGACAGAATATAAAATATGAAATAAGCACACACTGTAGCCATAAGCAGCCCACTGTCAAGTAGGGATGGTATAACTGGTGGGGCCTCCATGAGAAGGGTACCCAGGAGTAGAGAGAGCGCCAACTGGGCTGCTTCTGGCAGGGGAGGGAGCGTTCTTACAAGAGCCTCAGCAGAAGAGTCAGTATTTCCCATCGTCAAACAAGAGATGGACTAATTCATATCTGTTTTGGCTGCTGTGAGCTTTCAAGTCATGTGATGAGGCAGAAAGGGTAGAAGAAACCAAGCAAATGGCAAGAGGAGGGTAGAGTCACAGTACAGAACTAAGCCTTAGGCAGCAGCAGTTCTCAGAAACAGGTGAGTCTTAAGACCAGGGTTTTCCTGCTTCAGTTCATTCATGAAATGTCCCAAGCATGATCTACCCAGAAGAGAGTTGGCAAGAAAGCAAGCAAAGGGATCAGCTGGCCTGGGCCCCAGGCCTCCCTACCGCCCATGGACTATGGGCAGAGCCAGAGCTGGCAGGACTCAGGGAAAGGCCATGCTGGGGAGGCTGCACAGTGAGGTGCCTGCAGGACGTGTGTCACCCAGGTATCTCTGACACTAGGTGTGGAGGCAGCAGTGACTTTCCAGCTCCGCTGTTCACGGGCCTGGGCCTTCCTCCCCATCCTGGAGCCCAGGCTCTACTGGGCAGGATGCAGTCTACAAGGCAGGCAGGACCTGCCTGAAAGCAGCTTCTGTGTTTCCCTAGTTACTCTACCAGCACACACCATTGCCCAGGTTCTGAACTGCACATCCTTTTTCCCTCCCTGTGCCACTGGAATTGTTACAGCTTTGGCAGACAGCAGTTTGTGGTATACGATGAAAACCTTTAAAGTCTTCATAGCTTTTGTCCTATGCCACAAACTGCTGTCGGCCGGAAGGTAACTCCCACCTGTGAGATATGCTGAGTTTGTACCTCACAACTTCAAACAGCGGTTGAGCCCAAAGACAAAGGAGGTGAAGAGTAGGAAAGGTTTATTAAGAGAAAGCTCCTGGGAGGCTATGGGGTCCAGAAAGTGGATTGTTGCTGAAACTCTTTGTCCTGGGGGTTTTATACAGTAAAAATTACATCACAGGTTACCTTGGGTCAAACCGTGATCAACCTGTGGGAGTACAGGTATAGTCACTTAGCTAATATTGATCCAATAGAAAAATAAGGTATACAGCAAGGGTGCATAACATGGAGAGAGGCAAAGAGCATGGAAGGGGGAGGAGCCAGGCTCAGAGTGTTCTGGTTATCTGTCTGCATGTCACGTTGTTTCTCTGTGCTTCTTATATTATTTAGGGTTACTGGACCAGATGGTGCTAGTTACAGTGCAGCTTTGAGCTGTTGTTTGTCACTAGGAAGACTCACAGGCCTAACCATCCTGTCTCCATCTCAGGGCTTCATTTCTATCAACTCAGACTTCGATCACAGGCCTGGTTTGCTTCACGTCTATTCTGATTCCATCTCCTACCTGGCCCCTTGCTAACCACCTGTCAGTCTCTACCTAACTTAGCTATCTGCAGTACCATCACTTAATGACTGGCAGTCCAACTTAATGGGAAAAAATTTCACGAAACAGCAGAAAAACCTGTGCATAAAAATATTCATTGTAACATTTTATATAAACAGAGGAATGTCTCCACTAGCGGAGGAAGTGAGCAAACCGTGGAATATGTCTTTGATGACATACTTTTTACCATTGATGGTGGTAACGAAGAATACAATCTAAGATGGTATTTAACTAGAAAAGCAGGCTGCAGAGTTGTTCAGACCCGGCTCCCAATTTCCATGTGAGACACTGAAAGAGTCGGCACAGGAGGGCAACTGAACTGATGCACACTGGGAACCCGTTCTCGCGCTGCTGACTGCTAAACACATTCAGATTTGTTCCTATTTAATTGTCAAGGTAGGGCTGTATCTTAAAAAGTGCTTACCTCAGAAGAGTGTTTTTGAGCACAGTCCACATAAAGAAGTATTTGGAATTCACAGCCTGTTCTGACTGACCCGGAAGTCCAGGCCCTCTGGGCCAGCTGGCTTGGAAACTAGGTGTGAGTGCAGACTTGACTGATGTTGTATAGAAGGGATAACCTTAGGATAACCTTACAGAGTGACTGAACAGAATTCAGTATGATCCTTCCTAATTTTTATCATATTTCCTTTACTTCTTCAAATGAGAAGTCTAAGGCAGCGTCCCTATAGTATGTGCCATATTTTAAGTATATGTGGGATGTGGTAGGCATTTTGTTGGTGGCAGTGTATCTAAGTGGAGTGGGAGGGGGAGCCTAAACTGGGGCAAGTAGGGCTTGTCTATCAGAAATCATGACAACATGCTGATGACAGAGACAGGACCACAGTGCTGTACAGCCGGAATGTGGGTACACAGAGAAACGTGAATTCAGAGAGCATTCGTAGGAACCGTAAATGCATACAAGATAGGTTTTAAAAGAGGAATCTTATGTAATGTCAGGAGAGTGTCAGGGCAGAGGTCTTTTCCTGAGGCAAGGAGGGAATCATTTCTTTTGGGTTAGAAACAGCTGAGGGGCTGCCACCCCTCCGCAGGCATGGAAGGGTAGGCTGAACTCCATGGCCTGAAAGGGGCTTTTCAACCTTATCTTGCGTGTTCACCCATTGAAAGAATGTTTGCTGAAAGTGTCTTCTGCTTTGCTTTATTCCATAGTTGCAAAGCCCAGAGAAACCTGAATTCTTTCTTTGCTATTGTGATGGGTCTCAACACTGCTTCTGTCAGCCGACTGTCGCAGACCTGGGAGGTAAGCCTGGGGCTTTCATGGGGAGGAGGGGGTAAGAAAACATGACACGGAAAGTCTGAATTTAAAATGAATTTGCTTAAGTGGTTTACATGAGATATTATACTAAACTGAAAATGGAAAAGTGATGTGTTAAAGTGGTCCAGAGCATTTCCATCAGATGGTCTTTACAGTGGTTCTCTAAATGCAAATTAAAACAACACAGAAATTCCATCTTAACTCTAGAAATAATGTCTATCATCAAGAAATCAAATAGTAACAAATGCTGGTGAAGCTGGGGTTGTGGGGAGCCCTTCTACATTATTGGTGGTGATGTACACTAGTACAACCACTATAGAAACCAGTATGGAGAACCCAAAAATAAAAATATAAATTCCATTTGGCCCAGTTATTCCCCTTTTAGGTATCTTCCCAAAAGAGTGAAAGTCATCATATTACAGTGATGCATGTGTATCTGTGTTTATAGCAGCACAACTCATAATAGCTAAATCTTGGAAACAGCCTCTATGTCCATCAGCAGACGAGTGGATAAGGAACATGTGGTATTACACACGACAGAGTGCTGCTGTACTGTAAAGGATGAACTCCGGTCATTTGTAGGAAAATGGATACACTTTGAGGTCGTAATGTTAAGTGAAATAAATCAAACACACAACTGTAAATATCACATGGTTTCTCTTACATTTCCAAATATCAATAAAGGGCTGGGGGTGTAGCTCAGTGGCATAAGCACCTGCCTGGCAAGCGCAAGGTCGTGAGTTTGATCCCTGGTAAAAAAAAAAAAAAAAAAAAAAAAAAAAGACCTATGGCCTGAGAAGGAGAGCTTGAGTTCTCTTTCTCTAGCCAAATATCAATAAAGAGGAAATCATAGGATAGGTAATAGAAAGTAGGGAGGTAGATCTTTCTCAAATGGAAAGAGCCTCAAGAGATGGAGAGGATGGGGATGGAAGAGGATGGGAGGGAGTAAAAAAAGAACTAAGATGTGTTATACGCATGTGCCAACTCCCCACAGGGGGTGTAATCATTAGGTGCTACAAACATGCACTAATAAAAAACACAAGGAAAGTAAAATGGTTCTGTAATATACACGAAAGAGATACACATTGTGAAATGTGTGTAGAATTAGCCTCCGCTTCTGGGTTCTGAGTCCCTGGTACCGTGCTCCAGGTCTGCGCTGGCCTGCGTGGAGGTGAGCAAAAGTGGTTTTGCTGCAGTGGTTGTGAATTTAAGCTCTAGGGCCTCCTGCTTCCAGGCCTCAGGCAGTGTGTTCACATAGATGATGAACATCTTGTGCCATCTGCAGAAGTAATTTTATATTCTTTTTCTTAAAGAAGGCCCACGACATGTAATCAAGTTCAGGCCTCACACAGTAAAGTTCAGGCTTTGCTTCCTTCTATGCTGAAGGCCGTTTGAGTAGTAAGATGAAGAAGCCCACTCAGGTTCACACACACGGACTTGCAGGCCATGGGTGGGGAGAACTGGCCCCCGGGACCTGCCAGCTCGCCCAGGTCTCTCCCAGGCCCCAGCTCTTTGTTCCCGGTGTTTACTTCCTTCAGTATCCTTTTTCTTCTGTGCACCATTGCTCTCCCTCACCCTTTCCCTGCAGGACCTTGTCTTCTCACTGTGGGCCATGGCCTGTGGGTGGCTCACTGGCCCTCTGGGCTTCTCTCCAAGTCCTCTTCCATTCTATTCCATTTGCTCACTGAGCCATTCTCTCATGACTCCCTGTCCCAACTCCCCCAACGGACAAGCTGATGGGCCACCCTGTTGTTCCACTGAGTCTCAGCAGAGGTCTCCGGGCAGGCCATAGGTTCACCCTGCGGTCAGGCGGCCCCCAGTGGAAGGCATTGGGATGACCCAGGGTCAGGGTCAGTGCACCTGAAAGGGGTTCAGAAGAAAAGAAATGCTTTCCTGCTGTGGACAAGCAAACGAGACGTTTTGCTCATCTTAAGATTGAAAGAGAGGAGTGACAGATTCCACAAATGATCAGAGCAGGAGGGAAACAGATGGTAGCGGGGGACTGTGAGGAGTAGAATTAGAGTTAAACCTCAAAAGAAATATTGGGAGGAAAATAATTCAATTAAACTCAAATAGCATGCGTTCAGTCAGTGTCTGACCCTCTGCTGTGTGCAGGGCACTGCAGTAGCCCCTTGGCAGATAGAAACAGTGTGAATATGATGAAGGAACTGTTGGACCAAGTCCCACTGGGTGAGGGAGGAGTGCGTGGGGAAGCTCATTCTGCCGCAGGTAGCTAAGAAGACCCTCAGTGAGAAGCCCCAAGCAGCGGGGCATTGGAGGATGAGCTGGGGATTGCTGAAGGAGGGAGTGGGGATCTCACACAGAGATGACCGCAGGGTCTTTGGATCTTTAGATCTGGTGACTAAAGAATGAAAGTGATCACATTCTCCTGCGTGGTTAATATAGGGCAAGTAGCAGATTTGAGGAGCTAGATTAGAGGTCAGCAACTTGTTAGTAAAGGACCAGATAGTAAATATTTTTAGGCAGTACAAACTATAACTCCTTAACTCAGCCATTGTAGTACAGGAACACCATGGTTAATGTATAAATGAATGGTCGTGGCAGTGTTCCAATAAAACTTTATTTATGAAAGCAGGGAGAGAGCCAGATCTGGCTCCTGGCTAATCTCTGAGTAGATCAAATTAACGACACACTGAGCTTCAGGTGCCACTTCATGTGGGATATCAAAGATTTGCAGCTTGAAAGAAGCAGTAAAGACTTGAATGTGGTGGTACATGCCTTAATCCTAGCACTTGAGGCTGAGGCAGGAGGATCACCACAAATTCAAGGCCAATCTGGGCTATATACAAAGATGCTGTCTTTAAAAAAACAAAAAACAAAAAACAAACAGTAGAAACAGTTGCAAAACTTTACCTTTTGTATCTTCTCATCCATTCATGGGGAAGGGACAATGGTTTCCAACAAATTAAACTGCCTGTTTGCTGAAATAAACAATCCAGACGCAGAACTGCCAAATTGAAAAATCTGTTTATAGATAATTTAAAAGTCTAATGGAGTTTGCCTCATTATTTTGATTCAATTTGGAAACAGAATTCCACCAACATCTTGAACTCTCTCATTGATGGCTGGAATTTATTAAGTGCCAGCCATGCACCCTACACGTTTCATGAACTTCCTGTGCCTGCAGCTGAAGAAACTGAGATCTTAAGAGCTTGGAGACTCGCACCAAACCACAGAGCTGCAAGGGGGCAGAATCAAAATTTACACTGAGCCTGACTGCAGGCGAGAGCTCTGTACCGTGGAAGGTTGCTGAGTCAGTATGAAAAGCATCCAGTTCTTCACTTGTGTTAAAAGTCGGGCTGGGACGTTCCAAGTGTGTTTGTTCTGTTTTTCCCTGTGGCCCAAATTTTATGTTCCCATCCTCTGTCATTATATATGCTACCTGTTGATGTAGTTGAGCTTCACAACTCAGTGATTATACCCATTACAGCGCAAGCTCGCTCACTGAAATCGTGGCCCTTCACTATTTAGCCCTTTGCTGTGAAACACAATTACATCATTTATATAAAAACTCAGCCTGCATTATGATTTGGTATTCAGCAAGACTGTTAAGAAGATGAGCACATTCATCAAAGGTAGGACGTGGAACTGGAATCTAAGTTTTTATTAAATAATCACCAGGGTATGGAATGTCTACCCAGCTAGATTCCTGAATCACGTGGCTGTTCAGCTATTTTTAGCTACATTCCTAAGGAGTAGCCTATTAAAAGGATGATGAAGACTATGTAATGAGAAGCAATCAGGAGAGAGCTGGAAGGTAGAGGTATTTATGCTCTGAAATGCAGCACAAGTAAGCACAACTTAATGAAAAATCCTCTCCGTGCTCAAAATAACTGTCTTCTGTGAACTTTCGGTTTTTGTGTTTTTTAGAAAATCCCTGGGAAGTTTAAGAAACTTTTCTCTGAACTGGAAAGTTTAACAGTAAGTAGCTGAACTAAAGAGGCCTTATTCTTCTAGTTAATCTCCTGGATTATAATGGTTGGTTTCTGCATTCTATGATGTCACGTAGCTTAGACTGGTTTTGCTTACATATGGAAAATGTAGCTTTGTTTCTTAAGGAATGAGGCAAAATGACAGTTAATGCTTCTTCCTCACCCTCTACAAAGGTGATGAGTGTGGTCCTTTTAGTGTGATTTTCAAAAGGCAGATTTTTAAGCACATTCCAGTTCAAAGCCTACACAATGAATCAGTATAAACTTAGCGTGTAGGGGCTGGGGATGCAGCTCAGTGGCACAGCGCCTGCCTGGCAAGAGTGAGGTTGTGAGTTCAATTCCTGGTACCAGAAAAAAAAAAAAAGGTAAACTTATCGTGTAATTAGCGTCCTATGTCTTATTGTTTTCACTTTGTCTTAGGTTAAGATGCAAAGTGTATAGTTTCTTTTTAGAACAATACAACAGTGCTCTCTTGTTTTCCTCCTCACTGCCTGTGCATTGAGAGGGCAGTTTTTCTCTGCGGTGTACCTAACAAAAGACCGACATTACCTCATGACCAAAATTATGCAGAGGAAACTGTGCTTAAAGAACCTACTTGAAGAAAATAATAGGGTAATCAAAGGTGTCTCTCTTTTGCAGTCATTCCCCTTTATTGTAAACCAATAACTTGAGTTTCATTCATTGCCTAGATTTCCTGCCCTAATTTAGTGAGTTTATTCTCCTAGGAAACCTTTATCTACTTCATTTGTAGGAAGAACCTCTCTATATCTAAATCATGTTCAAATTGTATAGGAAAAAGAGGTTGAGAATTGTTTCTATTGCACATTGATTTTCTTTCTTTTTATAATCTGCTTGGTTTGGCAGGACCCTTCCTTAAATCACAAAGCCTACAGAGATGCATTCAAAAAGATGAAGCCACCAAAAATCCCTTTCATGCCCTTATTGCTTAAAGGTAATGATTTTCTATCTCTTATGCTGTGTAACTCTATCATCCAGAAATTTATCGTTCTGACTACAGAAGGCACAAAAGGAATCCTCAGTATATTGGATTGCAGTCATTTGCATATTCAAACTTGTTTACTTTTGATAGTTCTTGAAATACTTATTTTTTAAATACCTTGAGGGGGCTGGGGATTTAGCTCAGCGGCTAAAAGCGCCTGCCTGGCAAGTGCAAGGTCGTGAGTTCGGTTCCCAGTACCAGAGAAAAACCAAAAAAAATAAAAAAAATAAAAAAAAAATAAATACCTTGAATGCTTAACTGTGCTTGAACAGATATCAAAGCATTTTACACTTGACTCATTAAACTTGACTTTTGTGTTTTATTTTATTTTGCTTCTTTTTTTTTTTGGTACTGGGAATCAAGACTCAGGACCTTGCACTTGCCAAGCAGGCACTGTGCCTCTGAGCTATGTCCCCAACCCTTTTACTTTGCTTCTAATTCCTGTATTATTTTCTTTTGAGTCTGTGATGTAGTTAATTCAAACAAGAAAAAGGCTGGCATTTAAAAACCCCAGTGGTGACAGGCTGTGCTCAGAGACACAGCCCACAGTGTACTGACATGTGAGAAATCCCTTTGGTGAACACACGCAATACAATGCTTGGAAATCACTAGGAGTGTACCTCCTGTTTCCAAGGTATGCGGTCCAGTTGGGAAAGTATTAGACAGCTCCAGGTTAGACTGTTGAGCTGTCTTCTATAGCTCACCCCATAATTCATCATGAAACCTGTCAGTTCAGCTCTCAGTCGTCTCTCTTTCAAACCAAGGACATTAATGAAAGAGAGCTCTCTGGAATCTGGCCTATTCTCCTGGCATTCTGTGTATATCTTTACCTGTGTGCTTCTGAGAGAAAGAGGACTTGGGAATTTTTCCTGACTATATTGTAATTCTTTCAAGGGATTTATAGGCATAGTCCTTCATCCAGCCTCTGGCCTCAGAGGTAGCTCCTGCTGGGTCAGGCCTCAATAATTGGACACTTATAGGTGATTCTGGAAATGAGTCGCCTGGGAATGGCATTGCTGACTGGGTTGGCCACCCTCATTCCCTCCTCCACCCAGTGCCACCTCTGCTGGCAGGCACCTGGATTACCTCTCCTGACACTCCCAAGAACCACCCAAGTCTGGAGACTTGTGAGTTACTGTGCCTGCATGCAGCCACTCCTGTAGTCCTCACCTAATATGAAGCCAGAATCCCTGTGAGACATAAATATAATGTTAGGACATTTGAGAGATGTACAGAATGCTTCACTCAAGCTGAAAAGATTCTATTAAATATAAATGGGTAAAATAAGGAGAGATTGCAATGCCAAAATAACAATTTAAAAATTCAGGTGATTCTTTTTTCTTCGCTTATTTGCTTTTAAGATAAGTTTATTCAGATTCCTGCTTTTTATTTGCAAAATAAAATGACTTGAAACAGTAAATACTTTTAAAGTTATGAGAAATAAATGGACAGTGTTCCTTTAACTTAATTAGCAAACAGAGCTTTCTGCTCTACATTAATGTTCCTTCTCCCAAAATGTTTGGTGCAGTGAAGTGCTTCGTGCATCTTAGTTGGATGCAATTTTCTGCTCTGCTGAGTTTATCAAGACCTTTTTGTTGGCAGCAAAACAAATTTGCCTTTTTTCTACTGAAACACATTCACTCATTGCAAAAGAACAAGTAGTAAATTAAACATTTTTTTCTCTTTTCATTAGAAGTCTTCTTGAGTTTAAATAAGCACCATTTTTTCTTTATAAAAATTAAACAGTGTCAGCTTTATTCTCAGTGAAAGTTACCATTTTTGTCAGAAATCATTTCCAAGCCAAACGGGATGAAAATTTTAAAGGTAGATAGTTAATAGATAGATAGATAGATAGATAGATAGATAGATAGATAGATAATCATGCCTGAAATGAGATACTAAGATATCTTGGGAAAAAATACATAACTATAATCCTTAGTTTTGTTTCTTTCAGCTGTGTGTGTGTGTGTGTGTGTGTGTGTGTGTGGTTTTGGGGCGGTTGGGTCTACCAGGTTGGTTTGGTTTGGCTTTTTGAGATAGGTTGTCACTATGTAGCTCAGGCTGGTCTTCAACTCACTAAGTAGGTCATGCTGGCCTCAACCTCCTGACAATCCTCTTGCTTCAGCCTCCTGAGTGGTGAGGTTATAGACATGAACAACCACCCCCGGGGATTCTTAGGTTTTTAAGTTGTATAATTATTTTTAAAGTTGTATTGAACTATTTTAGAGCAACTACCTGAATTTTTCATAAAACCTCTTATTCCTACCTCTTTTTACATTATATTTTGAGTTGCTTTTAATTAGAAAATAGGACCACACCAAACCACTTTGGGAGTTTAGGAAGGTTAGGCCTCTTCTGTTTCAGTGATTGAAATAGTCAGTTCCCAGTAAGTACGTAGATTATCAAGTAAGTAGATTACCTGAGGATGGTTTAGCCATCGTTTTCCTCTTTCCCAGTTGAATTGTCCAGCTTACTGATATACTTTCCCCGTACTGTGCTGTGGCATCAGTTCAGAGGGGATTAATGGGAAACCCTAAGTCAGCATTGGGAAAGGATCCCGCTAAGGTGTGTGAGTAATGTGTGAGTAGTGTGTGTGCAGCTTGGAGACAGTGGTCCCTTGTGTTAGGTGAAAGATCCAGAGGTGTTTGGGGAGTAACTGAATTCCTATTGGGGTTGTTTGTATTTTACAGTGAAGATTACTGTTGAAGATTTGTGTTATTTGAAGGAAAAGAATGTTGTGTGTTTCTTCCTCATTTTCCACTTGCCATTTCTTCAAATAGTGTCCCTTCATCTCGTAGTCCTATTTTATGAGGAGGTTCAAGAGTGCACAGTTGTCTCCAGGTGAAAGGGGCTTTGCAAGTCACACCTTGTCTTAGTTACTTTTCTCTCATTGCTGAGACAAAATACCTGACACCCAGAATTAAGGAAGGTAAGGTTTATTTAGCTCACAATTTGTGGAGGTTTCAGTCCATACTCGGCTGGCTCCAAGGCAGAGTGGTACATGGCAGAGGGCAACAGTTCATGGCGGCAGAAAACAGCAAAATTAACAAAAATAGAAAGGGAGGAGCCGCAGAGAGCAACCTCTTTCCCTCCCTTACACTATATGAAAACTACCCACCCCAGGGCGGGTGTATCACTCACACCCATAATCCCAGCACTGGACATGAATCAGTCACAAACTCTAGAAGCCCAACCAGTGACTGCATGAGACAAACCATAACACACCCCAAACTTAAATTTGCACATTTGAATTTTGGTGGCCAGTCGCCTGTTCCTTCTTGTTTTTCATTCACTCCTCATCCCACCCCTGCATTTAATAGCATCAAAACCATCAGCCTCTCAAAGCCTTTCCACTTCCTTGGATTGCAGCCTCCAGCCCCTACATCTGCTCCCTGCTTGCAGCCCCCTCTGGTCCTTCCCTTCCTCATGCCTACACCGGCATCAGTCCTACACAGCCCTGAGCTTAGGGAGCAGCGGTCCCATCTGCTGCCCTCAAGGCTCTGAGAGTTATTAAGAGGGAATTTCCAGGAGTAGAAGAGATTTAAAGCAGGAGGGACTATGTACAGGGAGTGGTGAGGGAAACATTTCCGTAGGTTGACTATAACTGGCCATAAGAAAAGTCTTAAGTCTTTTTTTTCTTTTCCTTGTGGTGCTAGGGGTCAAACTCAGGGCCTTGGACATACACAGAAAGGCCGTTACCTCTGAGCTGTGTCTCCCACCCATTCAAGTCCTTAACTTGAGGTGCCTGGGGAGCCCAAGAGGAAGCGGTCCCAGCCTCTCTGAGTTTGAATCCTGGCTTTGGCATTGTAATTAGGAACATGTCAGCTGTGGACATGCTTTGTGCCCCAGTTTCTTCACATGCTTCCCTTCTGGAGTTTTACTTTATAGTGTTTTACAAGGATGAAATGTGTTAATCCAGGTAAAGCACTTCAAGTTGTATCTCGAATTATTGTCACTGTCCTCATCATCACTTATAGGAATGTGGGAGAGCTGTGACAGGATAACCTTGTAACCCTGGGGGGAGTTCGGCCCACGCAGCTCTGAGAGGTATCTGCAGCCTGGACCTCTCGGGAAGAAAGTACAGGCCCAGGCTCCAGGGTGTGTAGTGTAGACAGAGTGGGCCCAGTGTTTGATCTGCAAAAGATAAAAGCAAACTCTTTGGACTGCTGTTTTTTATAATTACTGTGTCATGGAAAGCTTACAGTTATTTGCAAAATTGCAAAAGATAGCAACCAGTTTGTTAGAAGATTGTTGAATTAATTGGGAATCATTTAGCTACCAGAACATCAGTTGGAAAAAAAGAAGGTAGGAAAAGAAGCTCACAAAAACATTACAGGCCATCCTAGAAGCTGTGTACAAGGATGCCATGGAGACAGAGTTGTACCATGCTCAGAGCTCGCTGGTCCAGTGCTCTGAGGGCAGGTTTCAGGAGCACCTTTTTTTTTTTTTTTTTTTTTGTCTTTTTGAGACAGGGTCTCACTATGCAGTTCAGGCTGGCCTTGAGCTCATTTTATAGCCCAAGTTGGTCTCAAACTCACAACGGTTCTCTGCCTCAGCCTCCGGAGTGCTGAGATTACAGGCGTGCGCTGCCACACCTGGCTAGGAGCACCTATCTCTTAATATCTGTTGTGGATCTCCAAAATAAAAGTCTTCGTGTAAATATGATCTCTTTCCAATTATAGTTTTAGAGCTGCTATTCTCCCTCTTTTCAAACAGATTATCTTAGTGAGACTTTCGAACATTTTTATTTGGTTGACCCTCCAAGTTCACAGTATACCACGAGTACTTGCATGTCCTTTAATTTGTAGCGCATTTCTTATTGTGATCCTTGTCTGCGGGGCCTTCCTCATGCTCAGTATGGATTCTCTGATCTCAGTTTGTGTACATAATTCTCAGAGTTTCAGTCACTCTTTAATGTGTCTAATTCCCAAATCCGTATCGCCTTGGTTGATTTGTTTCTGGTGGTACAGGAGCTGGAGCTGCGGGAGGGCGTGAAGCTGCACCTCCCACTCCTCAGTCCCTTAAAATCTAGTGAGTCTCGAGTCACATTTATCTTCCCTTCCTCCGCATGTACTTTCATTCTGTTTTCCTTGTTTTAGTTTCATCGCTGGTGTTTTCCCTCTACCCAGTCAGATGGGGCCAGAAATCTTGGCATTTTTAAACATTCCCCTTTCGTTTACTTTTTTATTTTTAACGATGCTGGAGATGGAACCCAGGGCCTCACACCCAGTAGGCAAGTGCCACCCCACTGAAAAACATTCCCCGCCCCTCACTCATGTCAAGAGCACACCATCAGGTACTAGTCTAGGGAACTGGAAATTTAAATTTAAACGTCTAAGTCTGAATCTTAACTGTTTTACGTAACATAAGTCCTATAAGCCTTGTCAGGGTTTTTTTTTTTTAAAGCAAATACATAAATATTAAAATCCTGTTGTTTGTAAGTATTCATTTACTTTTTGCTCGGTCGTCTGACTAATAATATAATGAACCAAATAAGTTACAAAATAGCATTAACGTTTGAACAGTAGATTAAACACTTCACTATAAGTGGAGAATTGCTCTTTCAGTGGTGTTACCTCATTCCCTGTCCCCGCTCCCTGCACAAACCATGAGTTTTCACATTAGCTGTTCTACACTTGCAGTTTCAAATCGCCTTACCACATGCGTGGAATAATTCTACCATATTTAAGGAAAATTCGTTAGTTGGATTGTTTCTAGACTTCTTTGGCCTTACTGCATGATCCATTCCTAATGGTGCATGTATCTTTTTGTTTTTGATTTCCAGATGTAACATTTATTCATGAAGGAAATAAAACATTTTTGGATAATCTTGTCAATTTTGAAAAACTGGTATGTAAATTTCACTATTTCTCCTTTTTCTTGCTGAAAAGAAAATGCATGCTTGTCTTTCCTGCTCTAGCAAACTAATGGTGCAACCTTTATCTCCCTTGAGCCAGAGCTTATGTTGTACATTATCGATACACAATGTATCCCAATTAAAAATAAGTGTGCTAGCAAGGGTTTGAGAACCAACCAATATGGAAATACGTGTTTCATTTTAAAAAGTGACACTTCATTAGATTAACATCAGTGTTTGAATGTCCTTTAAGGAACCAGAAATAAAAATGTAGGGCTCCTGTCAACATTTATAGTCAGGAGCCAAGCCTTGCTGCTTTTGAGATACAGGCAAGAAAGTCCTCCTGGGGAGATGTGTCAGTTCCCCAGAACCCCAAACTCAAACATGAGCCTTGGATTTCTGGGGTCTCATGTAAGGGGAAGGGCTACCCCATTACTAGCCCCTGACACA